TGTACACACACACATGTACACACACACACACACACACAGTTATGGTTATATGCAGCTTCCAGACGCTTTGCTGATAGGTGCCATTTCTTATCACTTCGGCTGCAAACGGCCCCCTTATGAAGGCACTTTTACTTGCTGTCTATATGGAGGAGACTGAAGAGAGGCTGATGCGTTTGAGCTGCTCGCAAAGCTTTTCTCAAAACTGAAATATTGTCGAGTCAAAAAAACAACTCTTGAAACCTGATTCCTATGCATTTCTTGTGAATTTTATTTGCTTATTTAGGTGAAAAATAATTCGGTTTTTGTTTTTTGTTCTGTTCTAGTTTGCTTCTTTATGACTTCGCCAGGAATAATATTGACAAATAATATCCACAATTTCCACACTGTTCTTTTTCTAGAAATTAAAAAATAAATAAATAAAAAAATGAAGCCTGTAACGGTGCCATCTGTGGTTTGGAGACTTTTAATAAATTAGCTATTGGAGCTTGTTTATCTTTCCTCCTGCTGAGCTCCAACACTTGTGTGGAAAAAATGGCAGTGTAGTTAATGAACAAAACACGCATTGGTGACTGTGAAAGTGTATATTAGGTGACACAATGGTGGGRGAGAACCCATCGGCAGACGGAGCGACGTTGCGAGGCCGTTTGATAGACAACAACGCGGCGGGGGAGAAAGACGAAGAAGAAGAGGGATTCGACACCCAAGAGCCAAGAGACACTTTTCGCTCTCTTTGCTCCCCAACTGCTCCCAGTGCAAGAGACATGGGCCGCTGCACAGACAGATGGCGAAGTGGTGTGTGTGTGTGTGTTGAATGGTGACACCATTTGGCTGTGTAAAACTGTGAGAGACGARCGACTGAGAGGTATACGAGGAAGGAAAGATTCGTTTTATTCCATCCACACAGCAAATTTAGCATCCGAACAGCTTCAGCAATTTATCACATAAAGCATAAAAAGGTTTCTTTACTTTTCCACTTTTCATCCAGGTCCAGTTGCCACACTGCACGGAGAAGTTCACCTCTCCTGATGAGAAGAGGCCCTCTCTCAGGACAAACTCTGGGTGTGCAGGAGAAGATTCTGTATTTACAGACTGCCATCTACTGGAGTTAACCATTATTTCAATCCAAACAGTTTGATGGCATCCCAGTCTAACATGTACCCATGTGCATTTTTTAATACTGCGACTGTGTCAGTAAAGCTCCATTAGTGCCGTAAAAAGAGAAAATCATGACATTTTAAGATATTCCTAAATTTTACTATCAGAATCAGTTTTATTGCCATCGTCAGTGAATACACAGACTAGGAACTTGCAGTTAAAACACCCATTCTTATTACACACACATAAACATYGGGGAGAACTGAAYAAATGGAAGCTTTTGAATATAATGCAGAAACAYTCTTGATTTTGTGCAAAAACAGCTCAAAGGTTGGTGGAAACAACAACTATCACTTTACAGGCTTTAAGTGAAACTGAATTTGTCATTTTTGAAAGCTCTGCCTCAGACGGACTCTTYTAGTGGAGGCTTTTAAAGCCATGCAGTGACACAGAGCACCATCTTGTGGTTAAATCATACTGAAAATAATCTTAAAAAAGCTTTGACCAAAAACCTAAAAAYAAATGTATGAATTATAAAATAGCATTTGAATCCTGGAATGTTTAAATTTTTAACATTTAAAAGTGTCTCTGCAAATATGGCAACTGATTAAAACAAAGTGACATATTTTTTTAAGAGATATCAGTCATGCAGAGGACTAAACTGGTTAAAAAAATTGATGTGAATAATTAATATTAAAAATTTATGTAACCCTGGTATCGTTTTGTTGCATTTGACAGGGGGTTTGTATTTATTTGGATGCCACTCCAGGCATGTTTACTGCCTGTCGACATCGACAAGGAGGAAAACAAGCAATTGCCTGTTTTTGTAWATGTTTGGTTGTTTGTTAACAAAATATCTTATGAACCACGGAACCAATTTTAATGAGCCTCTTCAAAAAATAACCAGTAAGATGGATGTACATTTGGAGTAAACTCAATTGAAGCTAAATAACGTCAGCTAACGTTTGGAGAACAACCATTTCAAGATGGCCACAACAACCGATCTTAAAACACAAATTGGCTACAACTCTGATAATTTAATAAAAACTGAACTAAAATTTGGTGTGATGTATACTGAGAGCCATGCTCAACCTTTAACAGATCCCTCATTGCAGGTATGTGCACRTCTTATGTAATGCTGGTTGCTTACAGTGCACAAGAGCCCAGACTGCTTTTATCATTTATCACAAAATTTGCATCACTTWTTAATTTCCCCTTCCCTGTTTAAGTYCACGCTGTTCATTAAATGCAGCTCGCMAAAGTATTTGCTGAATAAATAAAATGAAATGTCTATGCTTATTTCAACTTAAATCTGTGTAAAATGAGTAGCTTTGCTGCAGCTGCTAAATGAAACCCAGCCTTCCCACGGTGTAGCAGCACRTACTCTCTTCTAAATAAGTAATTTAGAGGTTATCTCATGTTGTCGCTAATCATTTAAAATTGTCTTTTTTCATGTTTTTTTTTAAATTTCCCAATGTTCTCTGCCCCCGTACTTCAGCACCTAATCCTGTGTGTTTGTGGCTTAGCAGACTTATTCTGGGAAATGGCGAGCTGCTATCTGACCTGACACACAGATTGCATCCATTTTCCCGAAGCATATCTGTCTTTTTCAGACAGCCGCTTTTCAAAAGAAATATGTCAGCAAGTCTGGAGATTATGCCCCCCCCTCCTCACTAATCACCAAAAGACCCCCAACCTGCCTGGCATTTCTTCAGTGTAACAATGTGGCGCACCGAGCAGAAGTTCTTTTCCCATTTAGATGCTTATTTTGATCTTCTTTCATTCTCATTGTGTTGCTGTTAATCAGTTGTATTAACTATTAACTTCATGCTCTGTTGAGTTACACGATTATCGCATGCAAATGAAAATCGACTTGGGGAATAAAAAAAACTTGCAAGGTGAATTAATTTCACATCATTTTTTCTATTGATGTAGATTCAATGACTYCTTCATTATTATTCTACATTTGCTCTTTATAGAAAAAGCTACAGATTGTTCTCTATTTTATTTGGTATGCTCTTTTAGCACACAGCCCTGCTTTCATTTACAAAAGTAAATAAATAAATAAATAAATAAATAAATAAATAAATAAAGCCCAAATACAATGCAGTACTTAAATGAAAGCCAGGCATTCAGGCATATATCCTGCTGCTTTTCAGGTCAAAATTTTACAAATTTCCAGTGCTCCTAGACTCTTAAAGGCACAGTGTGTAGGATTTGTTGTTTTCAGCGACATCTAGTGGTTGAGTGGTTGAATCATCCTCCCTGGTCCTCCCCCCACCCCCACCACCCGCTTCCAAACACAAAGGAGTTGCTACGGTGTCTCTCAGGTGTCAAAAACCTTTGATAATTCCAACCGCGATGTCTACCAGCAGCTTCAGGGCTAGTGATGTTTCAAGTGGTAAGATTATGAGCTTTAATAAGTAAAATTATCCCAGCTACAATGACAGACAACAAATATTACATTTATAGTATTACAACTAAAACCGTTTTTGATGCCGGCACCGCAGTTTGTCCTTCATGAGCCTTCGTAGACAAGATGGCGGTGCAAGATGGTGGCTGCCTGTAGTGGCGACCTGCGACCATGGAGATATAAACAGCTTTTTATAAGGTAAAAATGATAAAACATGGTCTTTGTCTGCAATGATTAGACATGTTTTTTATTATTGTCATTAGTGATTATCTCAATTTCGGCTAAAAGAATTGACAAAWTCCTACACACTGTGCCTTTAAAGTCAAACAGCCAGGTACTTTGTAACGTGACCGTGTTGTAGGAGGAGGCTGACATGTTGGTTTGGGCAAAAATAGGAGGAATTCCTCAGTGGGGAAAATAGTATCTACTTCTCACATAAACATCCAGAGAGAAAATACAGTATTTCATTCAATATTAAAGTGACCAGGTGGGCATGTTGTGTGGTTTCCCCCACTCTGTGCAGACCTGTGAGTGCTGCAGATGACATCATGCCAGCTTTGATAATGTGTGACAATAACTCAGCTACTCTCAGGTTAATCACCTGTAGTTGTATATTCAAAGATTATATTAGAAGTTTTATTAAAATCCATGTAGCAGTTGAGACAAAAGAACACACTCACCACAGCACTTGTTCTCTGTATCAGCAGGCAGTAAAAATAACATCCRTTTCCTTTTTTTGTTTTTTACCCAGGCAGATCTTACTCCCGTACTTTTTTTTTTTTTTGTAAGCTAACTGTTGCTGACTCTGTACGGATACCACAACATTTGGGGCGACCCTGATGGATTCCTGGTATCATTGACAGTTATACGTGCGCCGCCTATAACCACAATTCCCCGGCCGCAGCTTATAGCAGGGCGAAGCCGAGCGAGATTCACTCCTAGACTGGCTTCAAGCCACTGGACTACGTAATAATTTATCGGCCAAAAAGCCCCCCGGTGTACTCGCTGTGCAATATTTATATCCAACCGAATGGATTTCCTCAGCTACATCACCGCAGATGCTCAGGTCAGGGTTTTTCCCTCCTCTCAGAGTAAAGTGTTGGTATTTCAGACTGTCTCAGTCTGGGAAATAACACAAACAATTTGCTCCTGATCACAGTACAGCTGATGTTTGAGGCTTTAGTACTGAATGGGTAAACAGAGGAGAGTGATTACTGAGTGAAGACAGGTGTGATGATAACTAATAAAATGCAGGTGTCAGTTTTTATAAACTAACRAATTTTACTTTAAGTGTTTCAGTTCAAACATGGCCATCAAACCTTTCTTTTTTGTTAGTCCKTTATTTCATTATTTCACTCTGTCATGTGTCATTATTCATTTATTTTCTCATCCCCAAAAAAGCTTTCATTACAAACAAAATTCCAAAAATCTTAATATCGTTATGCTAAGAGTGTTTAACAACACCTATGCAGCAACAAACTCTTTCCCACATTTTTAAAGCATTTTTGAGAGATATAAACCAACTAATCAACAGCAAACATTAAGTTTACAGCACCATAAATATTACTTTAGGTCAGTGGTTTCCAAACTGTTTCTGCTGGGCTCTTTGGTTTATACAAAACAATGTTTGTGCCCCCTACCTTGGTAACACACAGTACTCAACCAGACGGAAATATATTTTATTTTGCAGTTCATTTGATAACTCAACCTTATTTTGAACAACCGAACTAATACAAATAAAACAAAAAAATAAAAATAAAAAATACAGGCTGAAACAAAAATCTACCTCTTTAAAAAAACAACATAATGTCACTTCTTAAAGTGTAATAGTATTTTACTGTGTGACAACATTCAACATTGCTGTAATTTTTTTATTTTTATTTATTTTTCAAAAAATGCCTCTCCGTATAAAATGGGTTTAAAAAATGTGAACAACATAAAAATAAAGATTTGTTGACCAAACCTTTTCAATCTTTACTTATTTGTGTTTACATGGGAGCCCCATCAAAAAACATGTCCATTATGCTAGCAGTGCCCATAGAACAGGGGTGTCAAACTCATTTTCACCGAGGGCCACATGAGCGTTATGGTGGCCCTCGAAGGGCCAGTTAATGAACTTTGATATTTCATGTTTATCTTTGACTAAACAGTGTTTTAACATGTCCTCTTTTAAACACTGATAAGAACTAAGTGTGTGACTGACTAAATCTGAAATAATTATAGAAAGATTAAAAGTAAAACTAATAAAGTTTTACTCATTGATGAGTTTCTAGTGAGTAGCTGCATGATGACAGATTTAGTTTATGGTTGATTCTGACTTTAAAGCAGCTTATTTTCMGACATTAATACTTTGCTATTTAACTAAATTGCTCAGTTACTTAAAGCCGACAGATCAGGCGTAGGACAATGTTATCTTTCACCTTTTAAATTTATTTTGTTGTTTTAATCATAAAATTAAAGTTTACCATTGATATAAGAAACAATGTTCATGTAAAGTAAAAAATAGGAGTACCCCCCTTTGCGGGCCACACGGGTGTTTGATACACCCCCCCCCCCCCACCTCACTGTGGGAATCTCTGCTTTAAGTAATCAACAGTAARCAGTGAAWTAACTCAGCCCCACACATAAAATAACAGTTGAAGCCAAACTGAAAAATGACAAATCTGACTCACCGAGAAATGAGGCTCCACACTTGGGTTCATGCAGGCGCCACCATGCTGCCAACTGCTGCAGTTTCACCTCGCCGACACACCTGACAATTACTGCCCAATTTGCCCCCGACCTGAAAAAAAAAAAAACAATAAAAAAGTTAAACAGGGTCTGATTAAATTTAAATAATACATCAAAACAAAATCACTTAAACATAGCTTGCATTTTACTAAAACTATTTGTTTTTAATCAAGCTGCATCAAAGGATTAGTCAATTATTATCAACGGATGCATTAGTGTTACAATAAAATTGTCTGTCTTTAATTTGCTTTAAACTATTTTATATATTTTTTTCTTATTTGCATGCCATTTCCTTCCACTTTGGGTGTTAAAATCTTATCAAAAAATTGCTCCTTTGTGGCATTGTTATGTGTTCAGGGAGTGTAGTTGTGGAACTGAAACTGAAACGTTTTAACTGTTCTGGCATGCCTTCCTATTGCCAGCAGGGCCAAATAAAATGGTGTACCATTCCTGCCTGACATGYTTCTTGTGACCTTATGAAAGTAAAAATCCCTTCAAGCGGTGTAATAAATCACCCAGGACCCAGCCTGCCCTACATGTGCTCTCACATTGACACAGTGCTGGCCAAAAACTAAAAAAGTAGTACATCAATTTTGATGAGTGTGGAGAAACACAGTTAAATCAGGTGGTGTAACCTTTCAAAGGAGCAGGATGGACCAGTAGTTAGTTAGGTCAAACCACACACCCAAGGTTAGTAATCAAACACTGAGCTGACTTTAACTAACAAAAGATTAAACACATTTAATCCTTAATATAAWATAAAGCTATCTCAGAATAGAAGCCAACTTTAAAAGTGAACCCCGACTAGTTGTAACATTAGACATCATTTGATAAACATTTACATCCACTGTAAAATACAGATGTTAAAAATTCTGTAGACTGTTTTGTTTTTATAAATTTGAAAAATTATGTTGTCACATAGACGGCAACATTTTATTAACACCACAAAGATGACGTTTACTAGGTGTTACAGTGCGAGGCTGCAAGCAAACTATCTAGCCTGTTCACTTTTGCGTTAGCGCCCGTGTCAATTCATATGGCCTCAAAGCATTAGCGCCCAAGCTAATATGGCCTTAGCTGGTTTATATATATATATATATATATATATATATAAATGGCCTTAAAGGGGTAGTGTCCAAGCTGATACTCCTGATCAAATTTTTATGACCAGTTGAAAAATGGCAATAATTTCCATTTTGCACTGTTTGATCTTAAGAAGTTTCTAAGTAGAGCTTCAAAATGCAAAAAGCAGAAATGGGAGTGAGACAAAAACAAACATCTGAATAAGCTATTGTGCTGTATTATGAATTAGCCTTTAAAATTTTATTTTAGTTTTGTACCCAGACTGTAACGCTAAGCCAGGTAACCTTTTACTGCATAAAAATCTGCTGCTTAAAGCAAAACTCTGCCTGACAGGACTACCTTGATGTGCATATTTTTGGTAAAATGCAGTAAAACTTAATTTAAATATCATCACTTACTTTCTCCTTTTTTAAAAGAAACTGCACACTCAACCTAAATTTATGGCCTCAATGTTTTTTTTTTTTTGTTTTTTTTTTTACAAAAAGGTAATTCAAGTGTCCCATACACATTCCAACACACTTTGCTGCTGCTGTCATTTACAATATTTTTGTCACAAAATCAATCTTGTTGCTAATCCAACTCACTCATCTGCACTTTAACATTTTTCCCCCACTGCCCTTTCCACAAGAGTTATATTGTCGCTGTCATCTCAACTTTAAATCACATTTGCCACTGGTGCCTCCAATCAATTTTCAGAAATGCTCTGTGGTTCCCACACAGCGTCCTGTAATGTGTGGAATCTTTGGGGTAAAAAAAAAAAAAAGCAATGAATCACTTCAGTCTCCATGWGGGAGGCAGAAATTAAAGCAAAGGACCACCACAACTCAATAGGAAGAAACAGCTCATCCATGATTTGATAAAACACTTTCTCTGATAAGTTCATAGGAAATCCTCTGGACATGCGAGAATGTTCTGGTGTTTGCTGGGCCCTTGCCCGGGGAACAGTAGCTCACAGCAACACAAACGCTCCAATTACAGCTGCCTGCACCCCCCCAAAGTCCTCCAGGGGCTAGGGGGTGGCGGTGTTGGAACCACGGCACTATGTTCATTGATCTGAAAAACACCAATGTGATAGAGGGTAACTTCACTCCAGTTCCAGAGGACATGAACTGCACTTTTAATGATCCCAGCTGGAACACTGGTACGCTGAAAATAATAAGACATTTTGAATTCTTCCATTTATGGTCTCTTAGGATCTATGGACCTGTGAACTTGTGAGTGGAGCTTTGAGTCAAAAGTAGACCGATTGATCAGTAAGCCAATTATTAAAGACACTTTTATAAAAAGTCAGGCCACAGCTGATCATGCTACTGATTAAAAGTAAGGCACATTGGTGGCCAGCACAGTGGTGCCTTTTATGGAAGAGGTGCTTATTTTTAGTACATAACCACAAAAGTTATGGGCTCTTTCATTGGTACCATTTTTTKWAWWAA